CTTTAGAAATAAGGAAAAATGGCCAAGTGGGTGGGATTTAATAGGCACACCTAAAGATAGATGAAGCAACTTGTCCTGGCTAAGGAAGGAATTGTGCATATACTGACTAGTGACTGACTAAAACCCCTTTGGACTGGAAGCCAATAAGGTGGTGAGGCAGTGCATCAGACTTAAAAACCCTGTCACTCACTGGCTGTGTGACCTCAAGCATGACAGTCAACATCTCTAAGCCTCTCTGAGACTGGTGTAGTGGAGGACCCCCAGGGCAAGGCATCAGTACACAGGAAGTGGCAGCATCCGCTAAGGACTTGAACAGGGAAGAGATGATCAGAAAGGAAAAGAAACAGGTGTTTGAGACAGGGTTGCTGGTTAACTGCGGGGATCAGGGAGCCTGGGGAATTGGAGGGTGCATTCTGTTGCCTATGGAGCTTCTGAGAAAAACCTCTAGTATGCAAGTGGGAGTTGGACCTGGAGTTCAAGAAAAGAAATGGAATGGCGAGGAGGTGGGCAGTTAGCAGAACGGCCAAGGAAAGAGGAGGTGACAAAAGACTTGAGGAAAGTCCCATGTGTGCATAGATGGCAGGGAGAGGATAGAGACAGCACCCTCAGAGGGCCCTGGTCCCCAGGGGTTGCTGTGGAGAATTGGCAAGCCCTAAGGTTCATCCCACAGGTGGGGATGGGGGGAAGACTGGCCAGGTGTGCTCAGCATCACAAGGCAAGAAAAGGCAGTGCCCTAGCAGAGCCCAGAACCCAACACCACCTACTCCACAGACCCACTCCTCTGAGCCCTCCAGGGTAACAAACATGTCCTTAGTAAGTTCTGTTCATGGTGTGATTGGACTTCATGGACTCAAGTCTAACACGGTGTTTAAACCTTGGAGCATGCAGCAGGGGAGGTCTGACTTGGAACAGAGAATCCCGTTTTCCTAAGAAGTTTAAAATACCATGAAGCCGGGTGTGATAGTGCACACCTACACCCATAACCCCAGCTACTTGGGCTGCTGGGGCAGGAGGACTGCAAGTTCAAGGCCAGCCTCAGCAACTTAGCGAGACCCTAAGCACCCTGTCTCAAAAAAATAAAAAGGACTGGGAAATGTAGCTCAGTGGTAAAACTCCCCTGGGTTCAATCCCTCGTACGGAAAAAAATCCAAAAAATTAAAATATCACTAAAAGCATTTGCCAAAAAATTGTGGTGAGAGTGGGGGGCTGGGATTGTGGCTCAGTGGTAGAGTGCTTGCCTAGCGTGTGTGAGGCCCTGGGTTTGATTCTCAGCACCACATATAAAAAAATAAAAAATAAAAAAAAATAAAAAGTTCTATTGACAACTAAAAAAAATATTAAAAGAAAAAAATAAAAACAACAACAAACATGGTTGGCTTGGCCACTTCCGTCACTGTGTTGGCCTTACCACTTGAGTGTGAGTTTGCCTCTCAGAAGGGCTTGCCTGACCTGGCTTGGCTCAGCCTTGACTGCCGGGCTATGCAAGAGGGTGCTGAGGGGGACATGGACAGTGAGGCCTTCATGAGCCCCGGGGCTGCAGGCCTCCATCAATGCCTGTGGACAAGCATCAATCATGCGCATCTCTGGTCCTGCCAACTGCAGCCAGTCTGGCCTTTACCGGAGTCAAGAGCAGGGAATAGTTTCTTTAAAACAAGGGGTAGAAGTTTCTAAATGACTGCAGGGGCCAGGGAGGTGTGTGTGTGCTGGGCCAGAGCAGCAGGGAGCTGGCTCCATCTTGGCACTTGGGGTGTCCTGCTTGCCCTTCCCCTTCAAGGGCCTCAGCTGGTAATTGGAGTGGACAGAAAAAAAGAAAGTACTAAGGAGAAAGTAAGAACTATCCTCAGCAATAACCATTTTAACATGATTCCTGAGAGTCTCTTGTTTTCTCTCGGCGAGCATGTGTTTTAGTTTCTTGTACTTGGTGGTTGAGAAATCAGCGGCCCCGTTCTCCGTATGACTAGGATGCGAGCCTACTGGCCTTCTACTAAAACTATACACCCCAGACACTGCTGTCGTTGTTTTCCTTCATTTTGTTAAAATACCGGAAGTCTCCATAGCATTGGAAATCAGACGGTTGCAACACATCTCTATCCCAACAACTTTGTACATTTCCATGGGAATAAGTCTTAGACCAAATTGCGCCCCATTTCCAAAAGTCCATGAACAAGGAGGCATCACAAGACCACATCATCCTCTGATTCAAGAAACTCTCACTCTGCCCTTTAGTACAGCCACCAGCATCAAGAATGGAAGGTCATTCTCAGGTGGACACGATGCTCTTCCGAGGGCAAGACTTGGGGCTTGAGTGGGTGGGTTGGGAGCAGGAGCAACTGGGCTCTAAACTTTGAATCTTTTTTTTTTTTTTAGATGTAACTTTACCTTGAGTCCCATGAATTTGTACATGTGCAGGTCAAAATGCAGAATATTTCCAGGGCCCCAAAAGTTTCCTCATGGCCCTTCCCAGTCAGTACCCCTGCTTCAAAGGTGACCGCCTATTCTTGAACTTGGTGTAAATGGCATCACATAGAAAGCGCTGCTTGTGTCTAGCTTCTTCCACTCAGCATCATGTTTCTGAGCTCTCTCCTATTTGGCCTGTAGCTATAGTTTGTTTTTTGCTATTTCTGAGCAGCATTTCATTGTTCAGACACCCTGCAGTCTGTCTGTGTGTTCTCCTGCTGACGGACACTGGGGTTTCCATTTGGGGGCTGTTAGGCCACTGCTAGGAACGTTCTTGTATGTGTCTTTGGTGGATATGAGCACTCGTTTCCCCAGGAGTGGCAACGCTCAGCAGTGGGGCAGATTCATGTTTAGCTTTAGTCCATTCTGCCAGATTTCCATTGGTTGTTCGTTTTACACTCCCCAGTGACATAGGTCCGCAGCAGAGGCACAAGTCCAGGTGTTCCCCATCCATGTCATACATGGCTCCTCACCCAGGGCATTTGCTCTGGATCTGGTTGTTGAATGGTTTCCACTGAGCTCCAGCAGGCAGCCATTCTTCTTCCTTTACAGTGCTACCCTTCTCCAGGGTGTTTTCAACTGGGGAACCCCCAACTGAAGGGACTGGTGGGGAGGAAAGCTGAGCGGGTGCAGTCTGCAGACGCATGTGCCCACTCGACTGTGCTGCCCTCTACCCTTGGCACCCACCTTGCACCATGGCATCTCTGCACTGGCTCTTTGCAAAGTGAGTCATGCTGGACGGTCCCTGGCTCAGAGTATACAGCCCTTCCCTGGCTCTCCTCCTCACCCCTGCCCATGGGGCTCCAAAGGACACCAGCCTCCAGCACTTCAGTCTACCCCCAGCACATTGTGTCCAAATCCTTCCTTGCCCACAGGCAGATGTCCCCAGTTCCACCATTAGCACTCCATGCTTTTACCTCTCGAGGCCATGACCCACTGGCTTGACCCCGGTCAGAGTGGGTCCATTTCCCTTTAAAGGGTTGGCTGCCCTGGATGAACAAAGGCAACAGGAGCAGGTTTGCATGAGGCCATTGACAAGGATACTCAGACCTTGAGGGAAGATTAAAAGGAGAGGAGAAGGGCCCATGTGCCCTTGGCTGACCATGTTCAGAATCAGGCAGGAAAAGGCGCAGAAGACTCTGAAGTGACTTCAAAGGACTCACTCAGATCTCTGGTGGGGTGAAGGTCATCGGAGATAAGAAGGCAGGTCAGGGGAAGAGACTGGGCAGCCTCATGAGGGAGCCAAGCTCTGGACACATAGGACTGAGGATCCAGGGTTGACTTGAGCAACGATCTGAAGCTGGCCTTGTCCTCAGGCTCAAGAGTATCATCTAGGACTGGGGACAGGGGGTGGGTCCTCAGAGGCGGGTGAGGCCACAGACTTTCCTGAGCTGGATACAGGGCTCTGGACATACCCAGGAACGGCAGCCAGAGCCACAAGGCCACTTCCCCTTTTCCTGCCCCCAGCCTGGGACCTGGACTGGGTGCCTCCCCTCCACCCTCCATCTTGCCCTACCAGTTGTCTCCCTCTCAATCTTCTCTCCTTATGACTTTTGATTTGATCAGAATTCCAAAACTCCTCTCACGGTCCTCAGCCAGAGGATTTTACCAGCCACAGATGCAACCTTCCAGAGATCCTTTAGTAAAAGAATGTGTGTGCGTGAGTGTATGCACACGCATGTGCACATCTCCGTTTTGTATACGTATTATAGCATATTGCACACACAGTTTTGAACCTCATTTTTAAACATTGGTCTCATTAAGTATTAAGCAGATATAACAGTTATAGGATATATAGAAATTTATTTTTTGATTTTTTAAAATATATATATATTTTTTGAGATGGACACAATACCTTTATTTTGTGTATTTATTTTTATGTGGTGCTGAGGATCGAATCCAGGGCCTCACACATGCTAGGCAAGTGCTCTACCTCTGAGCCACAACCCCAGCCCATAAGATATATATAAATTTAAAAGACACCCATGATACAATAAACCCACCTGGTATCTGCAATCTGTTTTAGACAAAGAGGGCCGACTTTCCTTGTTTCTCTTTTCTCTTTCTCTTTTCTTCTTTCTTCTTTTTCCTTTCTCTTTCTTCCTCTCTTTCTTCTTCCTTCCTTTTACTCCTTCCTTCCTTTTCTTGTACAGCCTATGTGGCCCAGGCTGGCCTTTAAAATGCTCTCTGTGCCCTTCCCCAGCCCCACTGCTCTTCCCTGAACACCTCCCCAGTTTTATGCCTATTATGCCTTTTTCCTTTGTAATCTTGTCACTTATTTATATTATAATAAATATGTATTTACTATAATCAAATAATCATAAAAAGTAGTGTATTCAGTAGATATAATAAACATAAGCACTGTATATAATAAATATAATAAAATGCAGCAAATACATACTGCATACTTCCTCAACCTTTTGGGGTTTTGAATAGTCCTCTCTGATTTTTATCCGAATCATGACTGTAATCCCCAGACTCAGGGTGCTAAGAGGAAGCTACAGACTGATCATTTTCTTTCTTTCTTTCTTTTTTAGTTGTGGATGGACGCAATGCCTTTGTTTTATTTATTTACTTGTACGTGGTGCTGAGGATGGAACCCAGCGCCTCACACGTGCCAGGCGAGCGCTCCACCACTGAGCCCCAGCCCAGCCCATCTTCACTGTTGCACAGAATTCCATGGTATGGAGACACTGGGGTTCATTTCCATCATCTTGTTGGAGCACATTTGAATTGCTTTGGAGCTTCTATTTCTAGGCGGAGCAGTGGTGTGCATGAGCCTAGTTGTCTCACTTGGTGTTTGTGAGGGTTAAGTCAGAACTTCTCCGGGTCCTGGGCAGGGTCCTAGGGAATGAATGCACAGGTGACTTCAGTAGATGCTGCGGATCAGTTTTCTAAAGTGGTGGTGACTTTCCACACATCCGCCAGCGGTAAGAGTTCCCCTTAATCACCTTTTAAACCTGCCAGACGGATCCAGGTCAGTCGTCATTAAGTGCAGATTTGGTTTTCATTTCCCCGATTACGCACCTGGCATTTTCTTTTACTTCAAATGCATGTTGGCAATGATCAGAGCCGTGAGGACTTCCTCCTCCCATCTTGGCTGCAGAGGGTGCCATCATATGACATTCTCCTGACTGATTGCACCATTCCTTATGAATGGACACAGAGTGGCCTCCAATCTTTAACCATTGGGCGGCATGTGACTGAGGGTGTGGAGAACAAAGTGCACCTGCGCCCCAGGTGTGGGTGGGCAGGTCTGGACCAGGAACCTCTTGAGCCGTTTAGATGGAAGACAATTTGCTTTCTTCTATGGCCTGTGCCTGCTTATTTTCAGCAAATTTCTTTAATTCCTGGAGCCCAGGGTTGGAGCCTCATCCACCTGCTCTCTGCAGGGCCACCCTGTTCCATTTGCCCTGCACCCCCACCCCTTTCTCTCAGATGATGAGTCTCAAAGGGGCCGGGGCAGCACATGCGCAGAAACAACCAAATGTAGGACACGCCCTGGCCCCCCACCTATGTGCTGTGCCACCTTGGCTGAATTCTCAGCCCTCCCTGAGTCTCAGCTTCTCCCCACCATGAAAAGGACAACAGCACTTACTTTTCTGGGGCTGGGAGTGGACCAGGCCAATGCTACTGAACCACTCTGTTCATGCGCTGGCTCCCTTGTCATCCAAGACTGGTCTAGTTCTAGGAAGCTGTGGTGAAGCTGGAGGGTCTAGGGCTCTTGGAGGAGGCCCAGCAGAGCCTCAGATGGAGGGTTCCTTGGGGAGGGGATATTTGAGCTGCTTCTGTCAAGTCAGGCATCACTGAAGCAAGTATGAGAAAGGGCTTGGGAAGTGAGGATCCTTGGACAAGACACCAGGCAGCCAGACTCAGGAGAGTGAGGGTGGAAAGGTTGGGATGTGCTTGGGAAGATGTACTGGGTAAAGGATGTGGGCTTAGAGCCCTGGGTGCCTCTGGGGCTCCCTCTTGGAGAGCTCCGTGGGCAGAATGGGGTCCAGGGTGGGCCCAGGCTTCGCCATGGTGCCAGCAGTTCAGAAGCCCTCTCCTACCTGAACTTGACAGCCATACTTGACAACTGCTGTTTTCATCTGCCTGGGGAGGTGCAGCCCAGGACAAAGGGCTGTGGGGTTCAGCAGAACTGGACCCCCTACCAGAGAGCTCAGTAGCTAGTCCGGGGTGTTTGCTCTAGGAGACAGCATGCTGGGGGGTGGCACGTGACTCAGACAAGTGCCCCTTCCCAACTCAGCTGTGACCTGGTAACCTGCAGCATGGGATTCCCAAGGGCTGGGTGCCGGTGACATTCCCTGTGACTAAGCAGCATGTCCTCCAGGGAGTCTGGAAGCTGATCTGGAGAGTGGGAAGCCATGACTGCTACAATAATCACGTTCAACTTAGTGCTTGAAACTCGTTAGTCTCTAACTCCGGACAGACCAGGTAGATTGGAGGCATCATGATATTATCATGCCTCTTTCAGGCCCAGGCTGAGTCTCAGAGAGGTTGAGTAACTCGGGCAAGGTCACATAGCTGGGAAGTGGTGGACCTGCACAATCACACACCCTTCTGGGTGAACAGCTGGAATTCTTACGTCTGATTCTGGAGTCCCACTCTCTCCCTCTTCCTCCTTTGTCTTTATTCTCTCTCTCTTTCATAGATATTACATTTAAATGGCCCCAAAATCAAAGGACACAAAGGATTTGCAATGATATTCCTACCCCTATCTCCCAGTTTTCCTTCCTTGGAGACAACTAAAGGTGCTAGTCTGTGATAACCAGTTTTAGAACATTCTCTCACATATAAATAGGTATATTCTATAGATAGTCTTCCTTGCTTTTTTTGTACTGTTTTGGCCAGTTTTTTTTTTCCTTACTTAGTATCTCTTGGTAATCTTTCCACATTGGCTCACAGAGATCTTTTCCTTATTCTTCATGTAGCCTGTTTATTCAAGCAGATATTTTGGGACTTCTGACCTGCACAATTACACACCCTTCTGGGTGAACAGCCTTGCACTCAGGTCATTTGCATGAGCAGGTGTGTCAGTCACATGATGCTCTGGAAGGGGAACCACTGGGCACACTTGGTGTCATTCATTACCTTCTCCCCAAATCTGTCCATAGACTTCACCAGAAAAATGATTCTTCCTTGTACAACCGTGTTCCTCTGACTGACCTTTCTCCTACATAGTGTGGCTCAGGTCCCGTCTTCTGGACTCTGCAGGGAGGGGACAGTTGGCAATCCCCAGCCGTGTGCCCAGCACACAGTAGGAGGTCACTCAGCATGGTGAGCAGCACCCACCTTCCTGATGTGTCACCATTTCCTTAATTGGTCCTCAAACAGCCTTGTGTGAGCCTGGCAAGAATGACCATGTCCACTTTACAGGTGGGCAAGCCGAGGCTCCGGAACAACCTGACCTGCCCTCCACCTTGAGGCCAAGGAGGAATCCCAGGGCCTCCAGAGCGGCACAGCCCCTGCCCTGGGGCCACACCGCCTCCCAGTGGCAGCTGGGCAGCAATGAGCCCAGGCAGGACGGCTCCTCAGCCTTGTTTGTCATTCCCCAGTCACAGGCTTTGAAATTGGTTTGTTTGTCTGCCAACAAAGATCAGAGAGATGGAACGGGTGGCAACCTTGGGGTCCGCGCAGTACTGCGGGTGTTCTGAGCTCCTCGGCTCCTCCCACCGGCAGGGGCAGGCGCAGACACCCCCCCGGGGTGGAGCGCGGGTGAGGGTGCAGGAGGAGCGGAGCCCGTCTCGACTGTCCCCGCGCGGCCCTCGATGCAGGGCAGCTGACAGATCACCACTGCTCTGGTGGCCGTGGAGTTGCCATTATTCCAGAGAGGACAGGAAGGTTCTCACGTTCTCACGCGTAGAAAACGAGCCGTCACCTGCAGCTCAGTGCCGTGCGTGCCACAGGCACCATTTGCGCTCTGAGCCTTTGGCTTCGATCCCAGTGCCCACAGGCTCCTTCCCGACGTTTCTCAGCGTGTTGGTGCCCAGGCATCGTCTCAGGACGCAGGCGGCTCTCTCCTGCCTGTTATTATAAAAATGAAAGAGGTTTCCCCAGATGGAAAACGAGCTGCACAGGAGCGCAGCCCCACAAGGCAGGCCAGGCTCCCCGCCTGCAGGTCTCTGCCTTGTTTTTTTTTTTTTGGGGGGGGGCGGGGTGGAACAGGGTGTGCTGGGGATTGAACCCAAGGCCTTGCGCACTCTACCAACTGAACTATATCGCAGCCCCTGGGGTGCTGCTCTTGGTGTCCCTGTGACTTTGAGCTGCCACCTCTAGTGGTTGGTCCTGCCTGGGTCCTCAGTGGTTCTCTATCCACTTACCTCCCCAGCGGGTGTGGCCCTGGCTACCTGCTTCTTTGACCTCTAGTACTCAGCTTTCCCTGTCTCCCTACTCCATCATCAGTCAAGCCGGAGCAGTCCAAAGAAGCCAGTGTTAAACCTCTTTCTAGTTAGATCCTGCTCTCCACTAGCTCCACGGTGGGGTTTTTTTGTTTGTTTGTTTGGTTTTTTGTTTTTTTTTTTAACCACTGAGCAACATTCCCAGCCCTTTTTATTTTGAGATGTTGCTTAGGGCCTCACTAAATTGCTGAGGCTGGCTTTGAGCTTGCAATCCTCCTGCCTCAGCTTCCTGAGCCACTGGGTTTACGGCATGTGCCACCATACCTAGGGTTCACTGTGTATTTGACTTCTTTTTTGCTTACCTCTGTCCGCTCCCCCTAGCACATGAGCCCCACAAGGGCAAGGACTATATCCACTGCTCTTTTCAGCACCTAGAGGAGTGCCTGATACACAGGAGGTGCACATTTGTTGAATGCATTTCTTTCTGAGTGTGGAGAAGGCTCTGAGAGACAAGTTTACACTAGTACGTAGGAAAGAAGTGGAAGGCAAGTCACTTTCCATCCAAGAGGCTGGAGGAGGGTTGTGTGTGTGTGTGCGGGGGGGTGCCAGGATGAGGAGGACAGGCTCCAGCTCTTTGCCCAAGGAGAAGAGACTAATTAGCTGTTCTTGGCTTCGGAGATGATTTTGGGAGTATTCTTCATTCTTGAACCCAAATTACATGATTTACCTTTGCTAAATGGTTGCTTCCTCCTGTCTCAGTTACCTAAGGTTTCTAAGCAGATGTTTGGATGGCACCCTCCCCTGCCCCGTCACCTCCTAAATCTAAAGCCAGGGGCGACCCAACCCATCACCTCTTCCAACCCCTGCATTTTGCAAGCAGAGAACTGAAGCCTAGATGGGGTGCTGGCGGGTAGAGGCTGGCCTTCAGCCCAGGCCTCCTGCCCTGCAATCGTGTCTTCGACACAAGGTATGCTGTCTCACCCTGCTGCCACATGCAGTCATTTGCCCAAATATCCTCACCCCTAAAAGAGACAGAGAAAATGTGTAGCACAGCTCACACTGAAATGTGCTGCTGAAGAGGTTGACAGATCTAATCCAGCCCCAGGGTACCCAAGGGATGTGCTCACCATGTGGCAATATAGTTCTCGGTGCTCCACATGTGGCACCTTGTTGAATCCTGTGCCAACGCCAGAGGAGGGCACCGTGTCTGTTACCTCCCTTGTATTGGGGCACAAGAGGTCACATACCCACACACACTATAGGAAGTGACAGAGCCTAAATCCAAACCCCACTGGGCTCCAGAGCCCCTACTTGTGTCTTTACTCTCTATCTTACATTCCACACCAAGTGGCTTTTCCAGACAGTTGGAGTCAGCCTGGAAGAATTCAATCTTTCTGCAACTTTAATTAATTTATTTATTTTGAGGTGCTGGGAAGTATCTGGAGCTTCCCACATGCCAGGCCAGCCCTCTACCACTGAGCTACAGCCCCGTCCCCCGACCTCCTCTGACACAGGATGAGGTGCCCTGCTTGAGGAATTGAGTGCTGGCTGCATATCCATCCTAGAAGTCCCAAGGCAGACAGCCGTGGAAGGGGACAAACGCTGACCCCGTCCCAGTTAGTGCCAGGTGCTTCTGTATGTTTGTTCTCCTCAATTTCCACAATGGGCCTAGGACCCAGGATCTCAGAGCTAACAAGTGGCAGAAGCAGGACTTGAAGCCACACTTTTCTGCTCTCTCAAGGGACTCCCCCAAGGCTTGTGTCAAACAGGATGTGACTGAACAGTGTTTCTGGGTCGTGAGCCTGGGCCTCAAAGTCATCTCAGTATGTTCCAGCTGAGGCTCTGGTCCTTACACTCTTCCTCTTACTCCTTGAGAACAGAAAAAAAGTCATATAGACTGGAGTTTCCACTGAGATGGATAACAGAGTTTGAACCAAGTTATCACCAATTTTTTTTTTTTTTTGGTACCAGGGACTGAACTCAGGGGCACTTAACCACTGAGCCACATCCCCAGCCCTATTTTCTATTTTATTTAGAGATAAGGTCTCACTGAGTTGCTTAGTACCTCACTGTTGCTGAGGCTGGCTTTGAACTTGTGATCCTCCTGCTTCAGCCTCCAGAACCTCTGAGAGTATAAGCACGTGTCACTGTACCCTGGCACCAATTTTTGACTCCAAAAAAGAAGACAACTACTTTGCCAAGCCTTAAATCAAATATATTTTTGTGTGTTTGTGTGTGTGTGTGTGTGTGTGTGTGTGTGTGTGTGTGTGTGTGGTGCTGGGGATTGAACCATGGCCTGTACATGTGAGGCAGGCATTCTACCAACTGAACTATATCTCCAGCCCTCAAATACAATTTTTAAAAATTGTCTACAGTATGCCACACTAGACATTTTGTTTTTTTCAAAGATCAGTAGATTAGTGTGAGGTGTCCAGATAGAGGCAGACCAGTGTGGACGGAAGGAACACCTAGGAGTGAGGGCTCTTGAGTTCTGGGTCTGGCTCTGACTTCAGCTTGCTGTGTGACCTGTAGCAGGTTGCAATGACTAACCAGTTTTGAGCACATCTTGAGCAAAGTCACCTTCTTTCCATGGCCCTCTGTTTAAGCACCCTGGAAATAAAGGGCAAGATCTGACGAGTCCTCAGTTCCCTTCTAGATCTGAAGGTCTGGGATAGGAAATCAGGTTCCGGGACTGAGACCACTGGTGTTCAAAGCCCTGTTTCATCACTTACCAGCTAGTAAATGAGCAAGTTAGACAGGTTGCTTAACTACTCTGGGATTTAATTTCTTCATATGTAAATCAGAGATCAATAATAAGTCTGTCATAAAGTTGCAAAGATAGAATGAGAAAAATTCATGTAACTTGCTTGGCCCGGGGCCCAGCACAAATTCAAGATGTGCTCAAAACTAGTTAGTCATTGCAGTGATGAGAGAGCTCTTTATATGGTACTGAAAATAAAGAATGAGATCACAAGAATCAGACCCTCCACAGATAGTTACTGAGCACATATTCTTCATTTGGGATGAACACATCAGTTGGTTCCAAAACCATTCCCAGGCCCTTCTTTGCCATTGCATAACACAGAGATTGAAACCCAGATGTCTTCTCCCCCAGCCTTTTTCTGCCATGTGAACCATGTTTTGGCTATGAAATGTAAGCTAGTGGGTGCTTCGGGGAAGATTTTTGTTACTTGCTAAAATGGACAATCACAGGAGGAAAGCCCTTGTAGCCTCTTCTGCTGTTCTTACCTTAAGTGTGAATATGCTATTTGGAGCTGTGGCAGCAGTCTTATGACCACGAGGCACAATCACAAGGAGAAAAACCCAAAAGCTGAGGATCTCCTAAGGCTAGAAAGAGCCTGGGTCCTGGGTGAATTTGCTGAACAGACAACAAGCCCAGCTGTAGTGGCTGCTGGATTTCTCACTCTGTGGAAATACAAACCATATTTGTTTAAATCAGAGTTAGCTTCTTGTTCCTGGTATGAGTTCACCCTATCTCATGCACCACTCAAACAAACAAGCAAACATTAAGTTTCCACTAGTGCAAAGCATTATTCTAAGCATTAGGTTTGTGAGAAAGGATGAGACATCTTTCAGGTTTTGTCATCTATTCAGATCCTTGTTGTTTTATTGCAACAAAAATGTAGGAGGTGGTCCATCGGAAGGCTTCATGTTAGCACAAGGGTACAAAGCAGATGGCAGACTCCTCCTTCTAGACTGGAAAGACTTTTAGCACTTCTCCAGCATCAGCCTTGCTTGCAGTAGATGCTCAACCAGTGCTTGGTGAAGCTGCCCGCCCTACGCAAAAGATAATTCTGTGCCTATGTCCTTTTTGAAGTTCAGTATGGCCGTGTAACTTGCTTTAGCCGGTATGATGTGAGCAGAACTGACACATGTCAATTTCAGGTGGGGGCATTAAAGAGTTACTATAGATCTCTACGCTCTCTTTCTGCTGCTGCCATGGCACAGAAAGTTCAGTTCATGCCCTGGTCATAAAAACACATCATTGTCAAACTATTTGGTTGCAGAAGATTAATGGTTCCTGCAATATAGCCTAGCTGAACCCAATGTAATGAGTGAGTGATTCATTAAATGAATGAATAGTGGCAGTGTCAGGAATGTATGAAAGGGCTGGCATGGGGGGGGCGGTGCCAAGGCAGGGATGTATGAGGCAGATAGAGTTGGATCCGCAGTAGAAGCTGCCCCTTTACCTCTCTCCCTTCTACTGGAAGAGTCTGTGTCCCGCTATGGTGGCTGTCCCAGCCTCCGCTGCAGCTAAGGCATGACATGTGAGCCCCTCCCAACTGGCAAACTCTGAGGGAAAGTCTTCTCAAGGGCTTTCTAGACAGGATGCTTCCTAAATAGAAAGTGTAGACTTTCCCCACTACACAAGCCACTCCATGTTGAGTTTTCTTTTACTTAAGGCTGCAAGTAAAAGATTCAGCACTGATAGCTGCAATGGTGCAGTGGTCCCTGAGGGAGTCAAGGAGGCCCTGGTCAGAGGCCCTGAAGGGAGAGCTGAGGAAAGGTGGGAAGCAGAACCAAAGGGCCTGGTGAGTGATTTGGAACAGGGGTTGGGCATTGTGGAACGCAGAACAAAGATACCTAAAAACCCAGACACCGATGCACGTATGTGGGGGGCCCTGTGGAAGGGACAAGTGCTTAAAAGAAAATCAGCTCTGTCCAAGGACCAGAGTGTCCAGTAGGAGCAGGGGGAAGGGAAAGGAGGGTGGAGTCGAGAGGCCCAGTGGAGTCAAGGAGGCCGGGTGGAGGAGGCCAGAGTTGAAGAATGGCTGGACTCCCTGGATGGATGGAAAAGATCATACTAGTCCAGGTTCACCCTTCCTAATATAGCTGAGGCCAATTTTTATAGCTGGTAAGTCACAGATAATCTTGTCTTGCAATTCTCACTTTTAATTTTGTTTCAACATTTTTCATCTATTGAGTGGAAAGGCATTCAATACCAAATATACTTTGAGCGCAAACATTTAAAAGATGGCTACTTACTGTGTCACTAGCTGTATCATTAGGTATATCATTAGGTATAGCCGTGAACTTGGCCCATCACAGGGGCTGAGGCCCTTGGTAAGCAGACAGAAGGGGCTGCTCATGTGCTCCTCAGGGACAAAAGGGCACAATCCTAACAGAGAATACAAAAAGACGGTCAGTGGGGTGCTAAGAACTTACCTCCCAGTTTGGACACCGAAGGCCTGAATCACTGAAAACCACGACACAGTATCAGAACAAAGGAGAGCACTGTCTTTCCATAATCATGTAAATGTCATTTTACTTCTCTGAATCTCATTTCCTCGTCTATAAATGGATTTTTAAAAATCTCTCAGTATTGCTGTGAAAACCAAATGAAATGATTCTGTGAAGGTCTCTGAGAACAGATTAAGAAGTTTTTTGTTAATTAGTGACATACAGCTAACACCTGTATTGTCGCTTGTAGTTCTCAGGAGTCTTCTCAAGCTCCTGTGTGCACGTGACTCACCTGGGATCTTGTTGAAGTGCAGACCCTGATTCAGTAGGCTGGGGTGGGCTGAGACGCTGACGCTGCCCACATCACACTTTGAGTAACGGCAATTTGCAAACCTGAACTTTCTGGTAATGCATTCCCAGCAGACTTCAAGTCACCAATTTGGTCAAAATAGACTGTAGCCTTTGCTGTTCTACAGGTGATAAACTTGAATGATGCAGATTTAGAAGATAGAAACGAGGGTCTACACCAGAACTAAGCATTCTGGGTGTGTCAATAGATATTCCTTGGAGAAGATGTGGTGACATACATTTAGTGAACTTTGGGGCAAGGGTTATGATGCTTTCTTTCTCATATAAGTAACATAGAACCCAAACAGAAATAGCTTAAATAAAGACATTTTCTTTTTCTCTCAATACAAGAAATCTGGTAGCAGAGAAGTCTCTCAGGCAGTTAATCTAGTGGCTTGATGACATCATTAAGGACTCAAGTCCTGTTCATTGTCTTGCTGTGCCATGTATGGCATAGTGCCTGGGCCTCCTTAGGCCAGCTGTCCTCATGACCAGAAGGTAACTGTGGCGAAACAAGCACCACATCCTGATAGTGGTAAAGGCAAAGAAAAAATGGGCTATTTTTTCTTGTTGGTCTCTTTCTTTCAGTTGTCACATTCTTAGTTCCAGAATTTCCATTGTGGTCTTTTTATAGTTGCTGATTCTCCCCTTGGATTTCCTATCATTTCATTCTTTATGAACATATTTTCATTTATGTTCTTGAACGTGGTTATAATGGTTGCTTTAAAGTCTTTGTATTTAATTCTTACATCTGGACCATCTTGAACTTGGTTTCCGTTGACTTCTGCTTCTCTTTTCTGTGAGTCCCATTTTCCTGTTTCTTTTCATGTCAACCACCTCTGGATGGTATCCTGAACATTGTGACTATTTAGTTCAGGGACTCTGGATTCCTTTCATTTTCCCAATGAATATACTGCTTTTTGTGTTTGTTTATCAGACAGTTAACTTGGCTGAATTCTCAAACTGGAAATGCTGTCTCCCCTCTGTTGGATAGGAGCTGAAATCTTAATTTAGATCTTCTAGACTTGGCTGTGCTGCTTGGAGTCTTACCACACAGGTGGGGTTCAGTGATGTACAGGGTCTAGACACAGAATCTGGAGTTACCTGTTTGTGACTTCATCTTTGCAGGGTTTCCTGTCTCACTGTCCAGCTTTGTGGTCACTAGAATTCTGTCCTCTGGTTTTTCATGCCAGGACTACTGTGGGCTTATAAACATTCACATAACCTTTACTGGTGGCTTTCCTTAGGTAAAAAACTCCAAGAAAATAAAAATAAATACAAACATCCTGTGCTATTCCCTTCCTCCTGGTGTTCTCCCCAGTATCCATGCTGTTTGCATCTTTCTCAAGTGTTTTCATAATTGCGTTTTATAATTTTGTCATGTGGGAGGTTTTGGCCCAATGGGAGCTACTCAGCCATCACTGGATGCAGAATTTTTGTGAGTCAGTTTTCAAAGAACAAAGACAGCTTTCTCATAATCTCCCAGCAGATTTCTTCTCTTATTGGCCAGGATTGTGTTTATCTGCCCTTTTTAAATCTCCCTTGTTCCATCCAGGGCCTGCTTTCCCTAAAGGACATAGCTGCCCCAAGAATGTAAACAGAATTAGGATTTGTTTAACCAGGAAAAAGGAGAAAGGATAAGACAGAAACCAAGGCAAACTGCTACACAGAACTTTTTAGTGCCTTTAATATGAGGATGGCATGGTGACTCTCCAAGGGCTTGTCTTTCTCTCCCTAGCTCTTCTGGGTGTGTGTGTGTGTGTGTGTGTGTGTGTGTGTGTTTTCCTGGGAATCAAACCCAGGGCTTCTCACATGATGCTACATTTTCAGACCTTTTACTTATTTTTTTTTAATTTTGAGAAAGGGCCTTGGTGAGTTGTCCTGGCTAGCCTTGAATTTGCAGCCCTCCTGTCTTAGCCTCCCATGTGCAGGTCACTGGATTGTGGGCATGCTCCACCATGGGCCAACTTCATCTGCATATTTCTGAACTGCATTCATTTGACCAATAGGTCCTTTATCCACAGAGCTTATGCAGAACTGTCTAACTTCTGGAAGCCACAATCAATGTTCCAAAGCTACCTTTTGGTCACAATATTCAGTGGGCTTCCCTCATGACAATCTGACTAGCAGTCTCTTGTCTGAACCAATATTCCCAACTCAATACTTGTTTTGTGCATCAGAGCAAGAGTTGCTACCAAACTCAGGTGTGAACCAATGGCTGGAACAGACTCCCTGGTGGCCACGTATTTCTTTATTTTGGATCAGTCAACTCCTAGAAGATGGTGTCTCTTGAAAAACCCAAGGTCATGGAGTCTTTCCTTGTAACACAACAAAACATAGAGCCAGGGCCTTTGGGGTCAATTATTTAAGCTAAACTAAGCTGAGGAAATGGGGACTTTCATGGGGTTACTGCGTTGCCAATCATCTGTTCCCTAGGGCTAGGGAACTCTTCCCAAACTGTTGATGGACCCCTGCAACGGTCTAAGTTACATTTCAAGGAAAAACTGAAGAAATGATACAAACATAACAGTGAAGATCATTTTGAAAAAGAAAGATGGCCCAGTTGCCCCACACAGTGGTTTTCACACGCCCCCCTTTTTTTAATCTAAAATGTTTCCTTGATTCTAAAATACCACCTATTTGAAGACTCAGCCTCAATTTAGTAAAAGCTTTTTAGGGGGAGGAAAAACTCCAGAGAGAGCTACCACAGCCTATTAAGAATGACTATTGACAGCAAAAAACCTTAAAATTTGAGGGTGGGGGCAGGACATGATTCTTAGACTTAAGGAACAGAGAAGAGAGAAACATTTGTTTTAAAACCAGAAGGCATTTTCAATTATTTGATTTTAAAATCAGAAACACATCTGCTTGGTTCAACATTGAGAAGGCAGAAGTATTATCAGGGTTGTGTCTCCCTGCTGTCACCACCCTGTCCCCTGCCTAGAGGACACCAACATTTTTGGTCTTTTGTGAATCTGTCAGAGGTGGCATATGCTTATAGCTGCAAGTGGATTCTTAAATCCTTTGCTCTCTTTTATACTGATGGTGACATCACATACCCTCCTCTGAACTTTGCTTTATCACTCAAAATGTCATAAACAGAGATACATCTTACGGCCCGACCATTTTGATTTCTTTTGTTTTTCTAAAATTACATCACAAGCATTTCTCCACCTTCCTATATCACCATTTTAATTGTCCTTTGCCGTGATTCTTCTGTTTTGTGAGGTGATGGAACCACAATCTAATAACGTGCTCTCTGCTGTTCCACATTTAGATTGTTTCCAGTCTTGCTGTTGCAGAGAGCACCACAGTAACCATTTTCTCATTCGGCAAATATTCATGAACTGGGATCCTGCTAGACCAACACGTCTTAGGCGAGTAGCAGGAATGGCCCTGGACATAAGGACATAAGCAAGAATGCAGAAGTGATCCTGTCCTGCAAGGGGCCTCTGAGCACGGTCTGTGCTCTGCAGAGCAGGGATCTCAATGGACTTAGCAACACTCATGGGCAGCTCATTTATTGGGTTTGTGGGTTTGGTTAATGTGCTTCCACCTCAGACACAGATTCAGTCTCTATGTGCTGATCATACCACTGTCCAAGCCCCCAGCTGGGCTGAAATTACAAATAAATAAGTAAAAACAAGTTAACAATTAATGTGTACCAGGACAAGTCCCTATGAGTAGGTGCTTTTACAGAGGTATTATTATTCTCCCATTTTTTAATAGCAAAAACTTGCATTTAAATATCTTGCCAGGTGTGCCACTCACACGGCTGTGGCTTGAGCTCAGACAACCCAGTTCCCGGACTGGCGACACTGTGCTGCCCTGGAAAAGCCAGCAGGACTCAACTGCATGTCTTGTTTTTGCTCCATGGAGGCCGACTGGTCCCTCTTTCTCCTTCAGTGTTAGCAAGGTGACCTCAGATGGCTTGCTGCTCACTCACTGGAAGAGCAGTTTCCCGGGTTGAGCACCACTTTTCTTCCTCTCCGGAGAATTGCCTGCCAGAACCTCCCAGGTTGGGCTCTCCTCCTCCACAGGGAGAGGGGTGCACAGCTTCTTCCCTCCACACAGCCACACACTGCGAAGAGACCCCCATCCTAGAGCCAGCCCGGATCTCAGACCTCAGGGGCCCAGGTGAATGCTCTCAGCTCAGACCTTCAATCACGACCCCCTGTGTCCCACTCCATTCCATCCACCTCTGTGTCACAGACAACCCCCATTCCGAGTCCACAGAGGGAGGCTGTTCACCCTTCCTGCCCTCCCCAGACATCAGCAAGCCCAAACCTCATCAGCAGGATTCCGACCAGCCCTGCCCTTGATACCTTGGGACTGGCCCACAATGCACAAGCCACAATGAAAACCACCCATGATTTTGGCAGTGGCAAATGGGTTTCCCTCCACCCTCAAGCCCTGTCCTCTTGTAGCCTCCTTCTCTCAGCAGTTTTATTTTTGAAATTTTACATGCATATACATAAAGAAAAAAAATTTCCCTTTTAGACATAAATGGTAGCATATTATACTTACTGCTTGGGTCCTTTTATTTCCTTCCCTACTTACCAATACATCTTGGAGAACTTTCCCTATGAGCACATCCAAATCAGCCTTATTCTTTTCTGTAGCAGCAGAGAATTACATTATGCGGCTATTCCATAATTCATTTAACCAGCTTTCCACTGAAACTCGGATTCCTTCTAGATCTTTGCTGTTACAAATGATGTTATTTAACAATCTTGTGCACACATTTGGTGATGGGGTGGGGGGGCTCCTGTGAATGCTTCTGCCGTATAAATTCCTGCAAGTATTGATTTTTAAATAAACGGTGCCAAATTGCCCACCAAACTGCTGCTTTCCTATGGAGACAGAACAAATAGCTTAGACTTTGATGGTTAAATTATTTAAAGTAACTGGGATTTTATTTTATACGGGAGAGCATCTTAATGCCTTCCATAAACCATGAAAGAAAAGACTGATACATTTTATTATATTAAAATTTAAAACTTTAAGGGCTGGAGGGCTGGGGCTGGGGCTCAGCGGTAGAGCACTCGCCTAGCATGTGCAAGGTGCTGGGTTCCATCCTCAGCATCACATAAAAATAAATAAATAAAATAAAGATATTGTGTTCAACTACAACTAAGAAAATATTTAAAAACAAATAAACAAACTTTAAGGGATCGGGCCGCAGCTCTGTGGTAGAGTGCTTGCCTAGCATGTGCAAGGCCCTGGTTTCAGTTCCTAACATTGCAAAAATGAAAATTAAAACGTTTTGGACCACGGAAGACAACATCACAAAGTTGAAAGAGAAGCCACAAAGTGGGAGAGGATATTTGCAGTGCATTGAATGGAGCCAATATCAGTTCCAAAGTTTACACGTTATTAACACAGACCAATTGGCTTCCCAGCCAAATGGGAAGAGGTTAGCAAGCGACAAGAAGAGCAGAGTGAAATAACAGAATGAGCACGTGGAATGATGCCTGGCCTCACAAATATGGTTATTTGTGGGAAATTCACATTAAACACCCAGGAGGTACTGTTTCACACCCCTCAGATTCGCAAATTGTTTTTCATCCAGTATTATCAAGAGCAGTGAGGCAATTCCACCTCAGCTAGACACTGGTGCAGCCAGTGTAGACAGCCACAGGGCAACGCCCCGTCAAACCGAAGGGCCCGGATATGAACTGGAGTTTCTTATTCTGTGCGTTCTCCATGCTCTGGCACGTGTGGCCTCCAGGACTGGAGAAGAGACTGCCCCTCCCAAGGCTGGCCGAAGCTGGCAAAGGGCTCACGACAAGCCCTCCATGAACTAACCAATCAAAGTTCTCCCCTGGGAAACTAACCAATCAGAGCCCACCCTCGAGCCACCTCCTCCGGCGGGCGCCTACCCTCTGCCCTGGAACCCCTGTGGCCTAAGCCTGCCCAGTCATTCCCACTAGCCAATCCTAAACTGCTCCCTGCCCCTCCAGACCTTTCTCAACAGCTTTTTCTGGGCTGTGCTCGCCCCTTCTGCCCCCTGATCAAACTTGGTGAAAATGTAAACAACAAGATGTTTTATCAATGGCATTAGCCTCTCCATGGTGTAACCCAGTCACCTCTGTAAGTTGAAACCCCAGGGGTACAGCTGATACACCCACACTGGGACCAGAGAAATTCCCATACAGTGCAAAGTATGTTCTCTCTGGTGTCGTTGGTTGTAGCAAAGCATTAGAGACAACCCAAGCATCTATCAGTAGGAGAATGATAAATATATTATCCCAGGGTCTCAAAAGGCAGGGCTACAGAAAAAAGACCAAACCACATATCATAAGGCTAAATGAAAACAGAGTTGCAAAATAAATGCAATGTAGTCTGTTTATGTGAATGTAAAAATATTTATAAAACAGTACTACATGTTGTTATAAAATATTTATGGCTTTGTTTTTTGGTACTGGGGATTGAACCCAGGGGTGCCTAACCACTGAGCACAATCCCAGCCCTTTTTATTTTATTTTTTTGAGACAGGTTCTTGCTAAGTTGCTTAGGATCTTGCTAAGTTGCTCAAACTTTCCATCCTCCTGCCTCAGCCTCCTGAGCTGCTATAAAAAATTCATGTAATAAAAGTATCAAAACATGTAGCACATACCTATAATCCCAGCAGCTTGGGAGGCTGGGACAGGAAGATTGCAAATTCAAAGCCAGCCTCAGCAAGTTAACCAGACCTTAAGCAAATTAGCAAGACCCTGTCTGAAAAATAAAAAAAATAAAATAAAATGGGCTGAGGATGTGACTCAGTGGGTACTGGGTTCCATCTCTTGTACTTTAAAAAGAAAAGTGTGAAAACATGGATGAGAAAGATTCACTCACTAATCTGGAACCTGGTTTCCCATGGAGGAAGAGGTGAGATTGAGATCAGCAAAGAGTTCCAAGGAGGTTTTGCCTCCATCTGTGATGTTTCATTTCTTTGAAATCAAATAAATATTTGGTCAAAATGTAGTAAAATGTTACGATTCGTTTAATCTGTCTGGTGGCTATGTGGATGTTAGTTGTACTCTTTTGGGAGCTTTCATGTCTGTCTGAACTGTTTCACTAGAAGAAGAAGTTACTGTTAGGCTGCATGGATGATTTCAGTTCATACAAAAGGACATCCTGGTGGAAAGTCAGCAAGCTCTGTCCTAATCTCAACAGGGCCAAAGTTTGCCCCCCTCTCTCTCTCCTTAAGTCGTTCATTTTTAAATTTTTTTTTTGTAGTTGTAGATGGACAGAATGCCTTTATTTTATTTGTTTATTTTTATATGGTACTGAGGATTGAACCCAGTGCCTCAGCATGCTAGGTAGGTGCTTTGCCACTGAGCTGCAGCCCCAGCCCCTTAAGTTGTACATTTTAAAATTCCTGACTTTTAGAAAAGTTTTGAACACTCGCACCTCACAGAGGATACGCCTGTATGTTTGTTGATCAAGTATTCAAAAATTAATTTGCACACCTCAAAAGGTAAGTTAAAGTTTTACAGGGCCATTCAATTAATTGTGACAACCGTATTTCATTTTTCAGATGGGGAGGAAAGAGAAAAGAAGGAAAATCTTCCTGAGGCACCATCTAGAGGGTTTTCTCCTACAAGTGGATCTCTTCAGCACTTGTAATGGTCAATTTGAATTGTCAACTTGATCCCATTAAGAGATACCAAGGATTAAGAGGCTTATGGGTGTATCAATGAGGGTGTGTCTAGGAATGATTGGCACGTGGGATAGCCAATTGAAAGGGAGACCCCCCCTAAGTGTGGGCAGCACTGACCAATAGGATGATGGCTTGGATGGACTAAAAGTTGGAACAAGAAAGCAAGCACATATGCAAGCTTGATTCTTCTTGAATGGTTCTTGATCGCTGCTGGGATCATAGGAGGACATTGGACTCTATGCTTCTTGATCACCATGATATGAGCTGCTTCCCTGTGCCACATTCTCTCCAGCCATGATGTTTAGCTTCATTCAGAGCCTTGAGAAATGGAGCCAGCCTTATATGGACCTCTAAAACTGCGAGCCCTGAAATAAACTTTTCCTCCACTACACTTGTTCTGGTTAGATCCTTTAGTCACAGCAGTGAAAAAAAACTGACTAAAACAGCACCCTTAGCTGCACAGGAGGCTGGGGAATTGGGTCTCAGCCTTCTCAGTTGCTCTACAGGGATTCAGACAAGGAACAAGTGGGCAGGAGGCAGCTGCTGTGTAGCCAGCCATGGTTTCTGCCAGTCCTCCCCACAGTCTGAACTTGTCCAATTATTGGAACCCAGAAACATTCAACTTGTACCTTCATAATTGGTATATATTGGGAACAGGAAGTTAAGCCTCAGATTCAGGTTAAATATTTTTGTTAATAATATTGATTGGTGATGCTGTGACATTCACACTCTTGTATCAAGTAGCAACCAGGTTCTCCACTAAATTTCTGTTTTCAAGATGTGAGCAGAGGTGATGTACCATCTTTGAAAAGCCAACAGCAATCCCAAGAGCAATCCCTCGTGTCTTCGCAGACCTTATGCATAAGTCTCATATTTATGGCAGCTGCAGCCTCTGTGCATTGATTTTGGGTTGTCTTGTTGGAATTATATGCAATAAGCAGTCTTGTTTCTTGAATGTGACCGATGAGTCATATGAGAAGTGAGAACTTGGTTTTAAGAAACACCTGAGAAGATCAAAACACAACTCTTCAAATCAAATGCAGAAGTGTCGGGAAGTGATTCTTCCTCGATGTCATTCCCTCGAAGTTCTGAGGGCCTTGAGTGGGACACCAGGAACAAGGGGAAGTGAGCTGAACATTGTCAATGGTCTCACACTGAGGCCTGTTGCTCAGCAGCCCTCGTGAAACATGGAGCTCACCCTGAGGGTCCAGGGTAACAGCCCAGGGGCCTTCTCATGGGTACAGTCCTCGATTCCTGGTTTGCTGGCTCGGAGGCCATGCCTCCCGGCAGCAGTGTTGAACACAGGCCACCGCAGCCCGGGTAGAGCTGGTGGCCTTGCTTCTGGTTCACTGGGACTGTCAGGAGGACCTGGAAGGAGATGTTTGTCCATAGCCATCTTGCCTTCAATGGGACCTCGTGCTCACCTCCACCTGCCTCTCCACCCGCTTAATGGCAGTGTCCCTGTCCCTCACTCTGGAGCCATCCCTGCCACATCTGGTTGCCAACTTTGGACAGTCTTATAAGTAAATCACTCCCACCCCCCACTCCCCACCCCCAGTTTCTCCAGATCTGGCAAAGGCTGCCTGCCCCTCCCTACCTTCGGGCCCAAATCCCCAAATCACAGCATCAACTGTGACTCACCCTGCCCAGCCACCCAGCCTCCCCCCTCCGGGAGTCTTCTGTGGCAATGGCTTCACTAACTGGTCTTCCTTCAGCTGCCACCCTGGCCTGGCTGCCACGGCCCTCCTTCCTTCTCCAGCCCTGCTCTCACCTCTGTCCCAGGAGGCTCCAGGCTCCCCCTGCGTGTGGCGCCTGGACACAGCTTTCCTCTTTCAGTCTGTTATTCCACCTTATCTCCAGGTCCATCGGTTCCAGAGGCTTTGGACTTTACTACTCTCTGATGACAGGCACAGCACCTGCCAGGCATTTACAGCCATTATCTTTCTGCTTTACTACCGTGGAGCACAGGAATTATTGTCTCCTTAGCAGACTGGGAAAACCAGGCGTGGAGAATCAGACGGATCCCACTGCCTGGAGACAGTGGAGCGGAGCCTTCTACCCTGTGACTCTGCGCCCCTCAACATTTCCCTCCTCCCATCCTCATTAAGTCCCCCAGCCCACAGCTCCTCACACTGCGGGCTGATGGCCAGCCCACACTGCTCTCCTCCCCTCTTAACTGCCGCCAGCCACCTCAGCCTTGCACAATTGAGTTCTTAATTACAGATTGCCTTGGACGGGGCTCTGGTTCTTCCACTTTTGTGTGTCTGTCTCTGAGCTAGGGGGCGGAGCTTCTGCTCGGGCTCAGGCCTTGCGCCACAGATTGGGGGTGGGGGGGCTGACCTGACTTTCCCAGGAAGGGGGAGTCTGCTGTTCCGGAAAGCCAATGGCCACCTCGTCACACTCCCCAGTCTCCATCCCAGAGGTTCGCCTTGTATCTCTGCTGGCATGCGCGAGTGCGCGTGCACACACACACACACACACACACACACACACACACACACACACACACTTTCTCTGTTGCACACTTGTCTCATCAAAAGCTCTCTTCCCAAACTGAGGTAATTGTATCAACACAAGACAGAAGACGCCCTCCTAACTGAATCCTGGGCACTGCCCTCAAGGTGGAAGTCCGGTTTAGATCAGTGAGGACACCAGAGCTGGTGAAGCTCCCAGGACCAGAGAAGGCATTGACCTCTCCTCCTTCGCAGAGGCTGGCCTCCACTGGAAGTGGGTGGGGACTTGCTGTCTCCACTGTAGTTCTGGCCCTGCCACTGTGGTCTGGGGGAGCGGAGAGGTGGAGAGATGGGGCCTTTCCACATTAGTGCTTGCTTACTGGTGAAATTTGGGGGCCTTTAAAGAAGACCCATCCTCCAGGGAGGGAGGACACCCCTGTAGCTAACCTGGTCCCCACGCACCATCTCCCTTGCCAAAACATCTCTGCCCTGACCCAGGGGACCCACAGGGGACCTTCCAAGCTGTTCATCCTGGGGATTAAATATTGCCTTCTCCAGCTTCTCATTTCAAAGCGGGAAGAAGAGCACTCCAAAGACTCAGGATGATCCGGATTTCAGGTTGGTTTCTTCCTGCACACTTAGAGGTAGCCTGAAAGCTCCGTGAGAGAGTACTGCCCTAGAGCCCGGGGGTCTAGGACTTCAGAGGTGGAAATGTGTGGTGGTCTCAGCCCTGAAGCCAAACTTCTCTTCCTTTACAGTTTTGCCTGTGGCGATCCTAACATGAGAATGAGAAGAAACAAGTGAATAAATAAAAGGATGCTTATGTAAGAACAAATAAAAATAATTATAAAGCACATCCCATAAACCACACAGCCTGGAGGAGCCAGGGAGGGGCAAGGGGTGGGGGGAGCGTGGGAGGCGGGTGTCCTGCACGGGCAGCCTTGCCTCTGGAGGGAGGGGATGCTGTCCTGGAGGGAGGTGGCTTGTGACTCCTACACCACAGCAGCGCATCCAAGAGGGAGGCGCACGCGGACCCACTGGCAGAGGTTTTGCAACTGGGTGTGTAAAGCCTCTTGCGGAGGGTTGAGTGGCATCCTCCTGTTTGGGCATGGCGCTGTGCAGGGAGCCGTGAACACTCCTAGGTGTTCCAGAGACAGGCAGAAGGCTGGGGAGCCGGTGCCAGAGATGGATCCAGCCAGGCAGTGAAGCCAGCCGGAGGGTCGCCGGACCAGGACCCTGCTCATGGATTTGGAGGACCTTCTGCACCTGATCCTGAGTCAGAGGCCCCTTTCCAACCTTTGAGACTGCCACCTGGTAGAGTTGAACAGGCCCGGGCAGTGGCTGTCTGAACCACCCGTGGGTGCCCGGGCCAACCCAGTAGAGACGGCCACATTCCAGGCTCTGGGCTGGCAGGGAAGCTGACAGTGAGTTCCCACAGGGATTGGCAGGCCAGGCTGAGGCAAGCAGGCTCTGAACGGTGGTCCCTCCTCTCTGTGGGAGGCCGGAGGCTGAGGCAATGGAAGAGCAGGTGTTCAAGGGGGACCCAGACACCCCTCATTCCATCTCCTTCTCGGGCAGTGGATTCCTCTCCTACTACCAGGCTGGGGTTGTGGATGCCCTTCGGGATCTGGCGCCTCGGATGCTGGACACAGCCCATCGCTTCGCAGGAACGTCGGCGGGTGCTGTGATAGCAGCCCTGGTCATCTGCGGGATCGAGATGGGTAAGCCTGGAGGGGGGCGTCCAAGCAGAGCCTGAGGAGGCTTTGGAGATGCTCTGGGGACAAAGCCAGGCCTGGGAGGCAGGAAAGGAGGAGGTGGGTCAGTGGGACAGTGAGCAGTTTTGATGTCTGCGGGGTCACAGCCTTTGACCCTCTGGGTGAACATGGACCCAGCATCTCTCCTTCTCCCTCAATGTCCTTACCTGTGAGCTACTCTGTGACTCAGGGCCCTGGGTGAGGGAAAGACAGTATTGCTCTCAAATATCCTGGGATTCAATCCCAGCACCACAAGAAAAAAAAGGGGGTTACAAGGAGTTACACCAGGACACAGTCAGGTGTGGTTTGGTGGCCTCTTTTCAAATGCAAATACCCTTGGGAGGGGTGACAGATCAGACCTATCAGGTGAGGATGGATCTTTCACCTTTTCCAGGTGGCTGGAAAGATGTGACCTGAGGGTGGGGGCCAGGGCAGGAGGGGACCAGACGGGAGAGACTGGAAATCAGGGGTCAGGGCAGAAAATGGAAGCTCTCACTTCATCCTCTGTCCTGCTGATCCATGGTCCTTAGAAAGAAGGGGCCACACTGCTGACCCAGAGGGAGGACCACAGAGCCACGCCTGGAGCAGACACCTCCCAAGGGCCCCCTGGCCACTGTGCTGCAGCAGGGACATTTGTTCACCTTCCAGGCCCTTGTGGAGCCGAAATTCTAGGAAAAAAAAAAAAAAAAAGAAATATAATAAGCATTCAAACAAGAAAGCTTCTAATGTAATGTCAGGAAGTGATAGAATCTAGAATGAATTACAACAGGACAGGGACAGAGGATAAAGTGGGGACCATATTTCGTTTTACATCGTTGTTATCATTAGTTGTAATGGTAGTGCTGGGAATTCAACCCAGGGTCACTTACCACTGAGCTGCATCCCCAGACCTTTTTATTTTTTACTTTGAGACAGGGTCTCACTGAATTGCTGGCCTTGAACTTGTGATCCTCCTGCCTCGGTCTCCAGAAGGGCTGGGATTACAGGCTGCCACTGCACTTAGCTGGGGGCTATAAGTGGTTAGGGAGAGGTGACATCCAAGCAGTGACCTGTGCAAAGAAAGAAACAGCCCAGAGGCTAGTTTTGGGGGGTGGAGGAAGACAGTGGGAGGAGGGATTGAGGAGCATCTGGGGCCAGCTCAGGTGGCCACAGCAGCCAGCTCTGACCTTACTCTGGCTCCTGTGAGCACTGGCATGCTGGGATGCAGACAGCGTGGGCAGGTGGCAGAGAGCATGTGCATGAGCTCTACAGATGGGACCCAGCCCTGCTGTTCCGGGACCTGGGACCTGGAAGGGAGTTCTAGAGCTGTCTGTGCCTCCGTTTTTCCATTGTAGAAGGGAGATCTGAATATGGCTCCTTCCCAGGGCTGCATAAGGATTCAGTGGGCTCACATGAGTGAACTACCCATAAAAATGCCTGGTATGTGGCAGGCGCTTGGAACCTGTCCACTCTCTGAGCTGGGCAAGGTAGAAACTAAGTTGAGGGATGAGTGTGGCCGGCCAGGAGGACGGCCAGAGTGATTGGATTTGAAGGCCCAGCTACACTGGGTGAGGAGGAAGGGGTAGCAGAAAACGGGCGCCTTACCCCAGAGCAAGCAGGGCGTCTCCCTGCTAGGACCTCACTCTCCGCTGGCTGGAAGTCTTTGCTTTTAGGAACTGTAGCCATGCCCATTGACACTCATGTGTGCAAGATGATATTTTATTTTTACCCTTTCACAAGGAATAAGTAAAAGTCAAACAACAGGAAAGTATATAGAATGGAGAGAAAACCTCTATTCAATCTGCTGCCCCGAATCCCACTCCCCCTCCTGTGGCCTGTGCTATCAGCATGGATTGTTCCAGATCTTTGTGTGTGTGTGTGTGTGTGTGTGTGTGTGTGTGTGTTGCTGGGGGTTGAACCCAGGGCCTTGTGCAGGCAAGGCAGGCACACTACCAACTGAGCTGTCTCCCAGCCCCCAGATCATTTTTAAGCACAGAATTCTCTGTGAAGCAGTTGGTGCCTTTGTCACCCAATGGACCAGCCTGTGACAACAGTGGGCCACAGGGAACCTTTTCACTGAAACCTGGGAACAGGCCTCCTCTCTGTGGGATCAAGGTCCAGAATGTGCGCTGCTCCTAATGATGCAAAGTTCAGGGAAGGGTGAGGTGCGGTGGGCCTCGCTCCCCCCACTCAGGGCCCGTGAGACTCATCCACGTCCCTCTAGCCTGGTTCAGGCACTTGAACTCCCGGGTAATTTACTAGTAACTGGCCCTTCCTTTGTATCAGGCGCTGTTCTCTGTCTCTGGCATGTTAACTCCTTCAGTCCTCACAACAACCTCTGCAGTGCAAACAGTTATTATCTCATTTTATAGAGGAAGAAACTGAATCATGAAATGCTCACATCACTTGCCTGAGGTCGTACGAGCAGGACTTGGAAAAGCTGGAATTTGAACCCAGTCTGGCCGGAGTCTACACTCTTCCCTTTAAGTCATGCTGGTATGTCAGGGTGGGCATGCTGGCTGTGTAGACAGCAGGTTCTGGATCAGCTCCATCTAGCTGAATGACTCTCCAAAATAATTGTACCAATTTAACCCCAAGAAGCCTGTAGGAGCTCTAATTGTCGCCCCCAGAGTCATTTTTCCTTGCTAGTGTCAGACTGGAAAGCTTTGTGTCAATCTAACACACCTGGAATGATCTCAGAGATTTGGCTTCCTGATTGCTCGTGAGCCTCTACCTGTTCATCGACCCTCCTCCTCTGTGACTTGCCAGCTCATGACCTTGCCCTGTTTGGGTTTTGCTCCTGAGTTACCCTTTTCTTTACCTTCTAGGTGTTCCTGATGAATTCTTACACTGGTTATCAGCTGTAGCCCTTGCACCTAGATTCCCTACTGTGAGCCTTGCCATTTTCTTTGTGCTATATTTTGTCACTCAGGAAATTTTCACAAAGTCAAATGGACCCAGTTTTTCCTCTTACAGTTTGTATTTTTTAACCTTCATTACATGGCTGCTTCTACATTGTCTTTCAAAAATCTTTAAGTCTTTCCTATTTAGGTTCATCCATCGGGAGTTTGTTTTGCTGGTAGGATGAGGGAAAGACCCAATTCCTCATTTTGCCGCTCACTTAGAACGCTGCCTCAGGTGTGTTCAAGTGCCTGCATTCCTATGAGACTGTCCTTGGACTCTCTCAAAGTTTCTGTTGTCTAAGGGGCCTAATTTCTGCACCAAATGACACTGTGTTAAAGCCTTATAATAAGGACACATCTCATATGGCAAGCCCTTCCTATTCCTTCTTCTTTATTTTGCAAATATTGCCTTTATTCTTTTTTTTCTTTTTGGTACCAGGGATTGAACCCAGGGTTGCTTTAACCACTGAGCCACATCCCCAGTCTTATTTTTATTTTGAGACAGGGTCTCACTAAGTTGCTGAGGCTGGCTTTGAACTTGTGATCCTCCCGCCTCAGCCTCCAGAGTGCCGGGATCTCAGGCCTGCGCCACCCTGCCCAGCTGCCTCTATTATTCTTGTCCTACTCTGAGAAACGCTCTGCTAGGATCTTGATTGAAATTGCATCTTCCCATTTAGAAATAGAATCTGTCTCTCTATTCTGGTCTTTTTGTCCTTCAGTCAAGATTTTGTGTCTTTTATTGGATTTGTTTCTGAGGGTCTTCTAGTTTTTGTTGCCACGAGTTCTTTTTTTTCTGAGGCATTTTCAGATCTAATGGACTATCACAGATAAAGGGAAGGTTGATGGGTTTTGCATACTGATCTTGTTTTGAGGGACCTTGTTGAACACTCCCGAGAGTTCTGAAAGTTTGCCAGTAGGTCATCTGGTATTTTATGCATAAGTAGTAATGCTATATGCACGTAACCAGAGTTTCTCTCTCTCTCTCTCTCTCTCTCTCTCTTTTAAATAACTTTTCTTTCTTTCTGTGGTGCTGAGGATAGAACTCTGCCTCATACATGCTAGGCAAGTGCTCTGCCACTGAGCCACAACCCCAGCCCCTTTCTCTCTCTCTCTCTCTCTCTCTCTCTCTCTCTCTCTCTCTGAGGATTGAGCCCGGGGACACTCGACCACTGAGCCCCATCCCCAGCCCTACTTGTATGTTATTATAGACAGGGTCTCACTGAGTTGATTAGCGCCTTGCTTTTGCTGAGGCTGGCTTTGAACTCGTGATCCTCCAGTCTCAGCCTTCAGAGTCGCTGGGATTACAGGCTTACACCACCACATCTGGACCTTAGTCTCTTTTTTAAACAAAATTCTTAAACCCCTGGTTCCAGGGTCCATCCCCTCAAGGACACATCCCTGTCCTTTGTTCCCAGACTGAGCTCTTCTGTCCTGTGAAAACTGAGTCAGTGAAGGGTCCATCTCCTGACTGGCCGGTTCTATGACAGGGCTGATTTGGAGGCTTGAAACCCTTGGTAAAGTGCTTAACACAGTGCCTGGTTTTCTTTTTTCTTTATACCTTTATTTATTTATTTATTTTTATGTGGTGCTGAGGATCAAACCCAGTGCCTTGCATGTGCTAGGGGAGAGCTCTACCGCTGAGCCACAACCCCAGCCCTCTTTCTTTTTGACATTAGAGCAGTGTAGTCGTACATAATAGTTGGGTTCATCCTGACAAAACCATACATGCTTGGAATTCAATTTCAGTTCGTGTTCACAATGCCTGGTTTTCATCAGAGATGCAGCAAATGTCCATTCATTCATTCATTAACCTGATGACCACCTGATTAACATGGTGGTCTCCATGACAACTAGTGGGCTTCCAAAATTTCCAATCTGAACTAGAATTAAAAAAATACCTCCAACTTGTATTTTTCCAAAATACAACTTGTATCATTTTGAAAAATAACTTTTTTCTTACTGAAGAGTGGATATTCGGTAGACTTGAAATCCCATTCCCATTTAAGCTACTGCTTGTCCATTTCTTCCCATATAAATCACATGGCAAGACCTTGCTCTCTCCCTCCCTTCTTTCCACATCCTGCC